AATAAGAAACAAACAGGATTTTTCAAGACCATTAACTTAAAAAAAGAAGTAAATAGAAAGATATTTAGTAATTTATATTACAAGTTAGGATTATTTGAAAGAAGAAAATTGATATTTTCTTGATATGATAAATAAATTAAAGGTTTGGGACCATTAACTCATTACAGATAAAAACATTAGACCTTATAGTATACATTTTGTCCCTTAAAGTTTAATGTATGTTGGCATAGTATCATTTTCATTATATGATACAGGGATCCATCTTCCCACTATTTTGTGGGGAAAATAGTAAAAATATCTGGCATGTCAGTAAGGTGACTTGCAGAACTCTTGCTACAGGGAAAGAGAAGCCAATAGCTACACACAAGTTAGGTATTTTTTTTAATAGCCAGATTAGAAAAGGCATATAAATCCTGTCTAGTTCTTGTTTGCTAGACTTTAATGAAATGGTCTCAATTCATCTGTAAATGAGGTCAGGAATGCCATCTTTCTATATGTCCAGGGGAAATAATAGTATGGATAATACATGGCACTCTATCCCACATTCTCCTTTTAGTCAAGGTTAGAACAAGAACAAGAGACAATTTTTACTTTTCTTTTTGCAATAAAGAGAGATGTTGCTTTATTTTTCCACAGTTATCACTTTCTGCATTATATTACCAAGAACATTAGTAGAATCAAAATGATCCCAGAAATGTATTCATGGAGTTGTTCCAAAATGAATAAAAGAACAAAGAGTAATGCATTTATTCATAGACAGAATATTTTGGGAGTTTCTAGGGTTTCAGACATTTTGTTCAGCTTTTTTTTTCTAGGTAGTCCAATTAGCAAACTGCTTTCTATTACAATAGCAATATAGACTGCACAGTGTTAATATAAAAATATTTTTATATCATAAAGGTAATCTACAACCTGTGTCAAGTTAGGAACACTGGAGACCAACCACAATTGCTGCCTTTGAGGCTGCCAAGATTATTATTGGTTATAATCCAAGGTAGGCATGAGAACTGAGCTTTGTTTTTTCTTGGGGATATGTTTTAACATCCTAGTGTGTGGGGGACAGGGGAAATGCCTCAGAAAACTCAAAGCCCAAAATCTTTTACTGATTAGTATGTTGTCTCACTTTGACAGTTTTGTTTTAATATACTCCACATACAAAGGTCTTTTCAAGCTGAAACTACTTTGTGTAGCTAGTACAGGAAGAGTCCCTTCATATTTACTATCAACAATTTTAGTGTTGTTGCATCTCTGTTGTTACTTTTCCTTCAAGTGCTTGGTGTTAGAAGTATGCTGATAACTAGTCTACGCATGGCCAAGAGTCACTCAAAAATCCTACTGATTAGAAAATAGGGCAATAAATCACTATCTCCTGGAAAAAATCAGACTTGTCTTTTCTTCTCTAAGATCATAACTACTTCTGGTTAGGTGGTAAAAGTTTTAGTAATTAGAGATTGGTCTTTTCTCAAATGTTTATTTTGGAAACATGTAATTATTTGGCCACGAAATGTTTCCCTGTGTTTTTTTAATATCAGAACAGGGAAAAATATCCCAAGGGCAACAGTCTTTGATCCAAAGGGAAAACTCATGGAAGAAAATATAAAATACTTTAAAGGTAGATACTGTTGGGCTTCTTCTTAGGGATGAAAGGAGGCTTGGCTTCTTTTATCCCACACCTAAGAGATTTAGCTCAGATTATTATATACTTTTGAGCTGAAGACAGAATGACCAACACATTACTCAGACTATGAAGAAAGAAAATAGGAAAGTTTTAAGAATTACAGCCTTTAGCACTGAAAGGGATATTCATTGTTTAAAAGCAAGAGCAGGTAACCCTACTGCATTGTTGGTAGGAGTATGTTCAACCACACTGGAAAGCAGTATGGAGTTTCCTCAAGACTACACATTCAGCTCCCCAATGACCCAGCAATCCCACTTTTGGGCATTTACCCAAACAATCACAAACAAGATCATACTAAAGCTATCAGCACAACTATGTTTATCGAAGCATTATTCACCATAGTTAAGATATGGAACCAATCCAGATGCCCCTCAGTAAATGAGTGGATGAAGAAAATGTGGCATATATAATGTATATTATATAATGTATATATAATATATATATAAAATGTATATATAATATATATACATTATATAATATATAATGCAACATATAATATATATTAGTATTGGTTATAATCCAAGGTAGGCATGAGAACTGAGCTTTGACTTTTCTTGGGGACATGTTTTAACATCCTAGTGTGTGGGGAAGGGGGAGATGCATTAGAAAATATATATTATATATAATGCAATATATATTATATATTGCATTATATATTACATACCACATATATATTATATATACCATATATATATATATATATATATATATATATATGAATTCTATGCCTCCATCAGAAAGAATGACACTCCCATTTGTTAGGAAATGGAAAGACTTAGAAAAAATTATATTAAGTAAAGTAAGCCAGAACCAAAGAAACATAGGTCCCATGGTTTTCCTTATTTGCAATAACTGGTATACATTTAGAATAATCTTACCAGACAAACAGAAAAGATCAAAAGCTATGTATATATGACCATATAAGATGACGCTAAGCAAAATGAACCCCAAGATATGGACACAAGAAGCTTTTTCCTTGTTGCTGTTTTTTTTAATGTACTATGTGATTTTTTTTTTGTTTCTTTTGTATGTTCTTTCCCATGGTATAACCCCTGTTTTCGCTGTATTTGATTCTGGTGTCCTGTATCTTGTATATACATATTTCTAATTTGAGGAAGGGAAGGGAAATAATAAAATGCTGAAACAAGGATACAGGTTGACCCATTGTAACGATGAGACGTACAAGACATTATGTTGAAAACGAACTTTACAACTTCGAGTCAGGGTAGGAGTTGGAGAGGTAGGGAGGGAAGGGATAGCAGGGGAAAAACAAAGGAGGGGGTAACAATATTAGATAGGAAATGTACTCATTACCTTACTCATGGAACTGTAACCCCTCTATACAGTATCTTTACAATAACAGTGAAGTTATCTGAAGAACTATATTTTAATCCCAGCTTAAAGATATACTTCTTGCGGGGGGAAGGGGGGAGGCTTCTTAGATTACACATACATTTTACTTCCAAGAGTGGTTACCATACTCACCCCCATCCAGGCACACTCTTTAGTTGAAGTTTTCAAAAACTAGAAGTGAGGAAAGTGGGACACTTTCTATCTGGTATGCACTTGGTAGGCTTCAGCCTATTATTTGTCAGAGGTTATGGCTCTAAACATGCAGAATGTGACTTTGAGAAGTACTGAAAGAATGACCCTGTCTGAGAGAGGTAAGATTGAAAGCTGGAATTTGAAACATTCTACTTTCTGGTTCCATTTATTCCCAAGGCCAATAATAGACTTACTCTTTCGCAACTTGGGTTACACAATAGCATTCTCTTTTTGCCTAAGCTACTTCAATTTACTATTTATTAATCAAACTGCAGTAATCTGACAAATTTCAGGCAAAAAGAAGAAAATTAATTTTAGAAATCAGATTAAAATTTAGCCCCCCCACATATACACCTCTGTTAAAAATGCAAAGATTATCTTACAAATCCTCTGTCTTTAAAATCCATTATCTATGAAGAATGTATATGACATGGGTGATCTTGTGCCCATGCACTTGCAGATTTATATGACCTTTGAAATCTGTGTCTATATTTGCCAGCATATCTTTCTGTAGTAAGGCCTCTTAAGGACAGAGCATCTGCTTTATAAAATATACACAAATGGAAGACACAAAGAAGCTAATAGGAAGAATTTCACCATATTTAGTTCTTTAATGGCAGTTCCCAGATTCTCCTATAAAGAGATTAGGAAAGTCTGGTAACTACCATTATTGATTGAACGAGTCACAAAAATTCTTACTGGCAATGACTATTGGTGTGGCTCTGTGGCAATTCCTTTGTTAAGCTAAATGTTTCTTAATTCTATCATGACTGAAGCACAAAAAAATAGAAGGGGAAAATATGAATAAATCACTTTAGGCCAACACCCAATTCACTTTGTATTCAGTGAGATGTGTTTATTTTCATAGCTGATCTGAAGGCATGCAAGATGTCTTGCCACAGCTGTGCAGAACTTAAACAGAAGAGTATAGAGCTCAATATTAAGCACATGTAGCATGGAATAATAATCAAGGTAGGTTCCTCAAAGTGCTTAACATCAGAAAACACGGCCTTATTTTCTGTTAGGTTTTCAGAATCCTAAGGTTCTAAAGATATCTATCTAAAAAGCAGAACCAAAGTTGGGCTTTATTTGACAACCTGAGTTCTCCTTTCCAAGAGGCTTCTATAGGTTTGATCAAGATTCTTTCTAAGTGAAAGCAGATTGCTGTTCTCCAAAGTTGTCCAGAAACAGCAGCAAAAGTTTGTCCTGGGGAAAGGGCAATTCCTGAGCTGTAACAGAGGGTAATGGTTGGCTAGTTACCAATCATGATCGGGGCTTACACACAGTCCTACATCAGAGGCCTGTGAATTAAAAATCTCCATGCCTCCAGCTTCGTGAAGGCTGAGGACTACGCACAATGAGGGGAAAAATGACTACGGCAAAGAAGAATGCCTGATGAGATGGGCACAAAATGTGTCAAAAGGAAGAAATGTGGGTAGGAACACGGGGCTTTGAGGGAGAGATGGGGAGACCCCAAAGGGTGACTACATGGTTGTGCATCAAGCCAGGTTCGATCAATGGTAAGTGTGGGGGTGCACAAAAGGGCCTTATCAGTTTTTCTGTCAGTGTTATAAACAGACAACACGATGAAGGACCCCAGTGGAAGGCGCTTTCCCTCAGAGGGGAAGGTGGTGGCAGAAGATTCACTCCTTCCTTTCCCACTCCGTTGGGCCCCGCCCCTGATTTCCCACCCCTTCACGGCCCCGCCCCTTCATTCCTAACCCCGCCCCAGGCGGCCCCGTTGCTTCCCACAGCCCTTTCCGTCGGCTCCTGGCTTTTAGCTCCCGCAAGGCTTGGCAAGTAGTGTGAGAGCGCAGGCGCGGTTTGCCCCTCGCTGAGCGCGGAGTAGCGGAGCGGGACCCGTGGTAAGTGTGGCAGCGGAGCTGGGCTCCTCTGAGGGAACGCCGTCCCAGGCGAGCTTACCAGGAAGGATCGAGGTGGACGTGGGTGAGTTCGGTGGGTGAGGAGAAACTGTTCAGACGTGCTTTTTAATGTTGGTAGCTCAACTACTGGAGTGTGCCGATTGGGGCCGCGTGGGGAGCAGAGTGCGCTGTGGCGGGAGTGGAGGAGGAGGGTGTGTTTGAGGAGAAAAACTGAAGAGAGGCAACCCAGACGCTGGAAGTCCATACACGAGCTTGGCAGAATCGGGAGGTTCGCCCAGGCTCTGGAGCATAGCCCAGCTTCAAGTTCAGTCCCCCGGCTTGGTGCCCCCTGAGAGGCGTCCCAGGCTTATCCCTTTGCTCCCGCTCTGGCTTCTTGAGGTACAGATTTGCCAGGAACGTTCCCCATCACTGGGGTAAAGATTTAGGGGAGGTGGGCTCTCGGCCTGGATTATTGCCCAGGAGGGCGTGGCGTTCTTGTTACTTTCCTTAACCGCGTCCGGGGGAATGTGTCCCTCTTCTGGTCCATTGTGCTCATGGACATTTTAACAAAGGCTATGACTGTTTCGTACGCTGTGGCTGGTGACAGCGGGGGCGGGTGTGTGTGGGAGGGGTGCTTGCAAAGTCGTGGTGTGGCCTTAGGGGATTGGGAATCATGGGGTGGGGGGGGGGTAGCGTGGTGGAGTGGAAGGAAGAAAACAACCTTCCTGCTTCAGCCTTTTCCGTCTTCCTGGTCCGGCGATTTTGATTAGTAGTAGGAAAAGCCCCAGAGGTTTATGAGTAGATTTTGTGTGTGTGTGTGTGTGTATGTGTGTGTGTGAGTTCAGGCTCTTGTGCAGACATTGCTTTTGTGATTGTGTTATACACGTATTTGCAGAAGAAAAACGAAACTAATGGCATTTGACAGGAAATAATTGAATAGGAGGGAGAAGAAGTACAGTGACAAATCTTAAAGTTCGATTCTTCCCTTTTGGTAGTCACAATAGAAAGCCTAACTGAAGGATGTGAAGTTGCACAAGTCTGGGTAAGTGAAAAGTTGAGTAAAGGACTGTTGATGGTTTCAATCAAGAGTATATTATTGGGAGATCGCTGCCAAGTACTTGGGCAGACTCAGAACTTTTAAGTATGATATCAAGAATAGAAAACACTAGAGAAAATATTGTGATATTAAATATGACTTCATAGGCTTTAATTTTTAATTTTAGAATCTTTTTAAAAATATGGTGTGTATGTTCCCAATCATAGATGTTGATATTTTCACCCATTGTTTTAACTTAATACAACAAAATGAATTGAAATTCCTCTTCCTCCACTCCTTTCCCTTGGTTGTCAATCCTGTTTTATAAACATTTACTTTAAAATCTGATGCATATTTAAAGATATAATTACTTTCCCTTAGGTATGAAGTGAGCAAAATTTTGTTATTTTACTCGATCTTCTAGTTATTTCTAGGTTTATGGTAATAACGGTACCTGATTAACTCTAATTCATCTTTTCAGACTTAGCACAGTTCACGTCCCAGAAAAATTTGCCACCTTTCCCACAGTGAAATAATTATCTCCTTGTCTGTAAAACTGATGTCACTAGACTTATTTTATCTTTATTTTTTTGTGCTAGTAGTGGGACTTGAACTTAGGCCCTCATACTGTTTCTTCGGGTTTTCCACTCAAGATTAGGGCTCTACAACACGAGGTACACTTCCACCTTTGGCTTTTTGCTGGAAAACTGGAGATAAAAAAATCTCACTGACTTTTCTGCCTGGCCTGTCTTTGAAACAGGATTCTCTTGTCTTGGGTTATACCTAAGTCAGTTGGGCATGTGAGGGTGCCTAATAAAGCTAAAAGAGGTATGTGTTAATAAATACTGTTAGAAAGATAATTTTTTCTGCATAAATTCATCTGATAATAGGAAAAATCTGAATGCTGAAGTTGTATATAATATTTGAGTAACATTTTTTGGATATGGAGAAGGAATAAAGACAGAAATGTGTTCCCATGTATTAGTCATAGTACATTGTTACAAAAGAGGTATAAACACTTAGCAGATAAGGAAAAATAAGGACCAGAAAAAGATCAAGGCTAACTTCGGACACCAAAACTAGTGAAAAGTCAACTTTTTGTAACATAAAGTTAACTATTTACAGAAGGACAAAAATAGGGTGTTGTTGTAATTTAGGAAGTGCTACAAGTGAATCCAGCTTGACAAATGCTATCTTCTAAAGGCTAAAGCATCTAAAGAAAGCTGTAGCATAATTAATTGTATTATACAGTACTTCTAAATAGCTTTTAGCTAATGGATCTCTGTCTTTTTTTTTTTTTTGGTTGGTCCTAGAGCTTGAACTCTGGGCCTAGGTGCTGTCCCTAAGCTAATTTGAATCAAGGCTAGCACTCTACCACTTGAGCTACAGTGCCACTTCTGGCTTTTTCTGAGTAGTTTATTGGAGATAAATGTCTCATGGACTTTCCTGCCCTGGCTGACTTCGAACCATGGTTCTCAGATCTCAGCCTCTTGAGTAGCTAGGAGTATAGGCATGAGCAACAGGCACCCTGCTGGATCTCTTTTCATTTTATAATATTTTGTGGTATAATTAGTCTGATCATTTCTACCATCTTGTCTTTGATATCTCATTTAGTTCCACCTGCATCCCTAGCCTTCCAGTAACCTGTAGCCCATAAAACAAGAATTAACTTCTTCATGCTTTTCACTAGATCGACTCAAATCTCATCATTCCTATCCCCAGCTTTCATCTCAAGAATGAATTTATGATCACTCATTTTGTAAAAGAATGGAATTGATTCTTTAGTCTAAAAATGAGTCAGGATTGACTGTTTTGTTAGTCCAGGTTTCTGTGCCTGTAAATCAGAGAACCTATTCTGGTCATTAGTAAACTCTATTTGCTTCTGTCACTTAAGCTCAACTCCATCCACCTATCTGTAAAAGTATTTTACCTTATACATCACTTTTCCTCATAACAGTGACCTCCCTTCCTCCAAAAAATGTGACTTCAAGTTAGTATCTGGTTTTTACAAAGAAAATTTGAGACCCAGAGAAGATGTGTACTTGGAAATTTCCTTTTATTGTGTATGTGTATGCCAGTAGTGGGACTTGAAATCAGGGCTTTGCATTTTTGTTTGGCTTTTTTGCTTAAGGCTTCTAATCTACCACTTGAGCCACAGCTCACTCCTCTTCTGGCTTCTCACTTATTAATTAGAGATTGGCGTTGTTTCGACTTTTCTGCCCATGCTGGCTTCGAACCATGATCCTCAAAGTTCAGCCTCCTGCATTGCTAGGAAAAGAGATATGAGCCACCAGTGTTGGATGAAATTTCTTACTGTGAAGTTCTTCATTTCTGTAACCTATAGGCCCACCTACTGAAAAGATAATACAAAGCAAGCCATTATGATTGTAGCTTCCTTGTTAAACATTTCTTTACTTAAACTTCCCTCTTTGCATTTCTGTTGTTTTTCTAATTCTGAAGTTTAGAACAAAGTGTCTTAAAGGATGTGTGTATCATCTCCTGTAAAGAATGTATAAGAAAGGACTAAAAGAAAATACTTCCTAATTGAGAGGTTTTCCTTATGTTTATTTTTGTATGTCACATATTTTGATGTATTAAATCAGATTGATTATATCCCCGGATCATGGAATATTATTTTTATTACAATCAAAAAAACAAATGCAGGTATTTGAGGTAATAGTTCTTAATAAGGTGTGTCCATTAGCCTTTCCTAGGGAGCTATTTCCACCAGTGTACATATATTTAGAGCACCTCTACTGATGAACATATCAAATATCAGAAATTCTGCTTGTGGATCCTGAAAAAAAAATCCAGGAAATTTTGATGTTAACCCTCCCTAAAAAACTCTTCTTTAATCAATGGTGATCAACATGTGGAAGCAGTGAAAACAAACTACTATGTTTTTGGTGGGTCGTGGGGGTTTCTGAGCTCTTCAGATCAAGTCAAGTGCTCTACCACTTGAGCCACAGCGCCACTTCTGGTTTTCTGGAAGTTAATTGGAGATAAGAGTCTCAGGGACCCTCTGGCTTGGGCTGGCTTTGAACCATGATGATCAGATCTCAGCCACCTGAGTAGCTAGGATTACAGGCGTGAGCCACAGGCTCCTGGCTAGCAGACTACTTTTGTTGTTAAATTGTTGGTAGAGAGAGAAGGAGAGGAAAAGTTTGGATTTTGAAGAGTTTAAGGAATCAGGACAATGACAATGTTTATAAAAGATAAACCTGTTAGAGCAGGGAAGTAATGCTAAGAGGCGTAATGCTAAGAGGATAAATCTGATGGTGTGTTGTATGATAGAGTAAGAAGATGTGGAATTAAGTGAAAAAAATTACAGATAAGATAAGTAATGCTGGATGAATTCTGTTTAGAAGAGGTTTATTTGAATACTACTTTTCTTCAGTGGATCTTAATCCTCCTTAAACTCTACTTAGAAATGATTTTTTTGGCTGAATAATGTCAGCAAATGAATCAGTTTCAGCTAAGATACATACATCTAATGGTCACACTATTGTGCTTTTCCACATACTTTCATATTCAGATTTTTTAAAGTTAATTGTACATATATTATGTTATAATTATATTGTCCAGCCCTCAGTACAAGATTGTTATGTCAGAAATTTTTACATGTTTTTAATTAATTTATTCAACTGATATCTCTGTGCCTATCTATTGCCAGGGAATGTTCTAAGGATAAAACTGGGGATACAGCATTGAATAAAACAGCTATACGTTATCACAGATTTCTGCCCATAAGTATCTTACATCTTTTTTGAGGGGGTACATATAAAATAAAATAGAAGAAATAGAAGATATGTATGCTTATATATATATATATATATACACATGCATTTATTTGTATATGCAGTTATTTGCATGTGTATATACACCACTACAGTACATGGTGACACTTTGGTCAATGAAGACTCTATGTAAAAACTGGTCCAATAAGGTTATAATGGAGCTGAAAAAT